AAACTGTTACAAGACAGCACAGCCCTACACAGGACAGAGGCACAGCCTCTCCTCAGCAACACTGACCCAAGGTTCTGCAGTAACAACAGCCCCATGTGCTCAAACAGACCCTCCCTGGCTGTTCTGAGCTTCTCACAGGTCTGCTCTGAAGAGCATACTCATTTTTATATATAAAATTATATATATATAATACTTTATATATTTTTATACATAAAATTTTATATTTATATATATTTTTTATTTATATTATATGGTATTATATTGTATTGTATAGTATTATATCGTATTATTAAGTATATAGGATATTATATTGTTATCATATTATATACGTTATATGTATTATATATATTATTATTTATTATATTATATGTATTAATTAATCAATATATCATATATTATATATTTATTATATATAATTATTATAATATATATTATGTGTATTATATATATTACTGTATTATTAAGTATATATTATATTGCATTATAGTATATATTCTATTATATTGTATTGTATTATAGTATATATTACATTGTATTTTATTATAGTATATATTATATTGTATTGTATTATAGTATACATTACATTGTATTTTATTATAGTGTATATTGTATTATATTGTATTAGAGTATACATTACATTATATTGCATTATAGTGTATATTGTATTATATTGTATTAGAGTATATATTACATTATATTGCATTATAGTATATATTACATTACATTGTATTGTATTGTATACATATACATATATATGTGCATATATATACTACATATATATTGTAGTATATATTACACTGTATTGTATTATAGTATATACATATATATGTATATAGTATATACATACATATATAAGTATATAGTATATACATACATATATACTACATATATACTACATATATATATTATAGTATATATTACATTGTATTGTATTATAGTATATATTGTATCATTCTATTCTATTCTATTCTATTCTATTCTATTCTATTCTATTCTATTCTATTCTATTCTATTCAATCCTCATTTTCGGGTCCATGTTGAGCCCTGGCAGTGTTTGGTGCCACCCCGTGCCCTCAGCCCAGCGCTCTCACCTGGGGCGCTCTGTGCGAACCGCGCCTCCTGGATGACGGCGAGTTTTGGCTGGATGGCGCTGGGCTCAGGCTCCATGGGGACAGGAGATCCTTCCCTGGACAGGCTCTCGGGGGTCTGCACGCCACTGGAGTGTGCAGACAACACTCCAGAGTGATTAGGAGAAGCTGGGGCACTTCTGTAGTTAGAAATGAAAGCAGCAGCTGATGTGTTTTAACTTCTGAACTGGGCAGCCCATGGCCTTCCTCTAAGGAGAGTGTGGCACACTGCCCTGTGCAGCAGGGGAGGGCACAGCTACAGCCCAGAGCTCTGCATCTTTTAAAAAGCTTCTGTTAAACAGGGACAGAATTTAAAAGCAAACTCCAGGTACAGTTAAAGGAGAAGAAGTGGCTGGATGCCTTCTTAGGGAGACTCTAAATCTGTGAAACATGAACATTTCTTCTGGTGGAGAAGAACAAGGAGCAAATCTGAGGCTACAGGGCAAGCAGAAAAAGATCTGCACCAGCAGAAAGGCCATAACTTTACAGAGGGAACAATTTAAACCCAGGTGTTTCCCCAGCACAAATTCTGCTCCAACATTAGCAAACTGAATACACAATTGTCATCTCTAAGGTCAATAAATAGCTGGTATCTGAGAATTTTCTTTGTAAACAGTTTTAAAATCCAGTAGATGGCAGTTAGAAATTATAATTATAATTCTGCAAAACCCATCAAATGTACAGCAAGGCTTGCAAACATGAACAATCTGATAGTTAGTTATGCAAACCAGGTTCTTTAACACTAAAACCAAGCAAGAAACACCAGCCTGGTGTACGGGGCAGCCTCCTAATGAAACACACAGAATTCAAACACTGAGTCTGGATGAAATTAAATTACTAAACTTGTGACTGTATCCAAAGCTATCAAGTCTGTAGCAGCCTGAAGATTAAACAACAGCCATAGTCTTTTTGTTCATCTGGTTTTCCTTACCTAGAAGAGAGTGGTCCCAGAGGGGTTCTAAAGCAAGGTACTCCCCTAGGCCGCCTTTTCCTAAAAGCCTGCTCTATTAATTTGCTTTCAGAGGCAGGGTCTATCCTCCAGAATGAGCCTTTGCCTGGTTCTTCCTGGGAACGTGGTACTTTGATGAAATAACGATTCAGAGAGAGATTGTGACGTATTGAATTCTATGGAACATAAAAAAATATGTAGAATTCATATAACTTTTCCAAGTCAGAATGTGGCCTACTGCAGCAGTTTGTACTATAGGAGACTGGGGGTTCAGCTCTTTAATTCCTTCATTTAACAGCACTCAGAGCACTACCATGCAGTGCCATAAACCTGAAAGGACTCTTGCATTTTGTAAACTCTTTCCCAACAATTAAAAACCCAGTATTCTAATTGGAAATAACAGGAATCCCATTTATTTCATTCTCTCATGAGAAACACGGTGATTGAAAGCAAGGTTTAGAACACTACAGATACTTGTGCAGAAGGCAGTGTTAAAAACAAAACTAAAAATGATCAATGCTTGTACTCCACCCTTCCCCAGGTGTCCCAGCTCCTTCCAGGAGGGCCAGCAGAACACAGCATAAACTGATTCTGATCCTATGTGGTAATTCTGTTACTGTTCCACAATTCAGAAAGAAAAACTAAATTGCACAAGCTCCAAAGGCAGCTGGAGTGTTGTGAATTCACCCACAGTCCAGTTTGTCTCAATGACAAAGCCAAGAATTTACTGTGTCAATTAAAACACCCAAGTGGCAGCAGGTCCTGAACCAGCTCTTCCAGATTTTTGTCACCACAGCCCCTTTCACATTCCCACATCCTCAATTTGCTGCAACATCCCCCCACTCCTCCAGCAGAGCAATGCACAGAACTGCTGACACCCTCAAGCTGCCCTATCTCTGCTTGGCTTTGCACACAGAATTCCTTTTTATTTTACTTTTTAACATAGATAAACCCCAAAATCTGAGTATTATCACTGAACAGCAAGAGACTGATGCTAAGGATTCACCCTGAAACACTTGTGAGGGAACAGAGGTAAATGGGAAAAAAACTTTATGTTAACAAAAGCTCTCAAAAATTTGCAAAGCCAGTGTAAAACTTGCTCAAATATCTGAGTTCACAACCCTGATGGTAAGTTTGGAAAACTTAAGCAGTGATGATAACCACATATGATTTCTTGAACGCAAACTGATGAAACCAGAGATGGTTTTTTCCCTGCCAAAAATGGAAACATAACTAGAAAGATGCCAAGAACATATTTATAAATTGTATTTATTTCTCCATATGCTAGAATAAAGAAGTGGATCCAAAAATACCTGCTAAAATAAGTTCAGAGAGAGGAGCTTTCAAATGCCCATTAAAATGAGAGCATTGTATGCTAAAGGATATAAATACCTGTTTGTTGAGGCGTGGGACTGGGACACTGGAGATGTGTTTTACTCTATGCTTTGAATGATATGTGCATATATAGCCTCAATTATGATTTAAAACATCTTTCCAAAGTCACCTATAGCCTCAAATATGGTTTAAAACATCTTTCCTTAATTACTTATAGCCTCAAATCTGATTGAAAACATCTTTTCTAAGTCACCTGAGCTGCAATCCAACTCCTAATGTGCAGAACCTGGCAGAGCAGTGACTGAACAGCATCTGATTTTCAGCTTTTCCAATTTTCTCTGCATAGCTGCTGATTAATGGCTCCAGCACACACTGTCTGCTGTGCCTGTCACCTTGGCTTTAGGAAGCATCACAGAATCCACCCCCTGCTCTGTGGCAGAGCTCTGTGTGTCTGTGTTGGGTTCATGATGCTCACAAAGCAACATCTCCTACACAGACACTCAAGGTACTGTGAAATAGGAAGCAAAACACAAATCAACATTTTATAAACAGACTCTTGTTGCTAAAACAACCTGACTGCAGCCAGGATACTGCAGTTATGTGGGAAAGGGAAACAAAAGAGACTTCCCAGCCACAGCAGCCAAGTCCTTGTCTAACCAAACCCTCAGCCAGGAGCAGCTCCATTCCCCTCTAACCTTGGGAGAGCGACCCAGCTTTCATCTAGGCTGTATGACAAATAAGTATGTGATTAATATTTAAAAATCTCTTCCTCTGCAGGGAAGGATTGTATTCTTCAGTCTTTCACTTGTGCAGCCAACACTTCCTCACTTTTCCTGTCACCCAATCTCCCTAAATTTGACCTCCCTGACAATAACTGCAGAGGGAGCAGAGAGCCCAGGATGTGCTCCAGGTGTTCCAGGCTCCCAAAACAGCACCAAAGGCACTGGGCCTTCACATGTGCCTGGCAAGGCTCTGCCAGACTGATTTGTACCAGTTAGTCATCCTGGCAAAAGCTGAGGCTGCTCTTGTGAAAATGAAAAGAAAGCAGAAATGAATTCTGCAGAGTTGAAAGGTTTGCTACAGGAATGGGCAAGTTCGCAAATCAAACAGTGCATGAACGAGGGTGAGATAATGAGATAAAACACTTGTTCCCTCACCTGCTGCATGGGCAAGATCACTGTTTTCAAACAGAACTAAACTTGGAGTATTTCATATCTCAATTTTATCTCAAGATAGCAACACGGATGTTGACACAGCTGTAGGTTACAGAACATGACACCTTTCCTAGAAGGCATACAGGATTCAAATCCAGTGCCAAATGCACTTTGCTTTCCCCAAAGCCTGCCTGCAACCCTACTAGGGGTTTAAAGAACACCATTCCATCAATAAAGCAGTATTTAAAATACAGACCAATGTAAATTGCCCACTTTGTTGGAAAACTTACAGTCAGAGGAAAGACAACACACTCATTTGCCAAATTCTACATCTGAAGGGTTATGAGGCTTACCAACTGCCTGCTCATGACCATTTACAGCTGCCAGTATTGCTCACATGTAAAAAAATAAAAAATATTCCAGAAATCAGAATTACCTGCCAGCCCTTGTCTGCTGTCCTGTAGTAGGGATAATTTTTAGTTATGTGCGTATAAATTCCATTTAGTGTAAGCTGCTTATCCGGGGCCATTGTAATTGCTTGGACTATTAACTGTGCATAGGAGTAGGGTGGCTTAGAGTCATCCTGCACAAAAACAAGAAAAGTCTGCATCAACAAACTCTGAATAAATACACACTGATCAAAAGTCATAGAACATCATTAACTTGAATTAGGGGACTTTTGGACAACAAAAATCTTGAGGCAGAAAAGAAATTAAGAAAGCTTTGTTGTTCTGATCAGCAATTTTAGGGAAACATAAATTTTGCAGCAAAGAATTTTCAATAGCTTCCAAACAGATCAGTAACTTAGACTGCACACAGACCCTCTCCCAAAGGGAACAGGGGTGGGTTAATCAATCAATCAATCAATCAATCAATCCATCAATCTCACATCTGCTCACAAAACCCTACACATTATTTTTAAAGCCTGGCATGTTAAATTACCACTCAGTGCATACACCTCAGCAAACAAAACATCCCAAGCCTTCCATTGAGCTCAGGTGTAATTTCTGGGATCGCTTTCAAGCTGTGTTTACCTTTGGGCTGTCTCCCCCTGAAGCTTCCTTGTCGTTTTCTGACTGGGAATTGTCAGCCATCAAATGTAGGTCAGACGCTATTCCACGGCTCATTTTGTACCCTGAGGAGCCGGCGCCGCGGGGGCTCGATGGGCAGGAATTTGCAGCACTGTAGAGCATAAAAAGAAGATCCTACTATTTTGTTATACAGTATATCACCACATTATGTCTCATCAAAAAGCTCTTGCTGCAGCAAAGCCACTACCAGAGCTGGGAGGCTGCAGCTAAAGGGTTGTCAGGGCTTCCATTCCAAAGCACCTTCCATGCTTTGCTAAGCCAGCCATGGAATCAGAATCACTGCAGGAAAAAACCTCACCCAGGCTTTCCTCCTCAAGAATCAGCTGATTGATCAGGCTGCAATGTATTTGTGTGAGATTTGCCACCTTAACTGCATCAGCAAGCACAGATTTTCAGGCACTCATTGGAAACAACACTGGAAACTACTGCAGTAGTTTGTAGTATAGGAGACTGGGGG